GGTGGATGATAGTGAACTGTTGTAGACAGAAGTGGCCAGGTTGGGGCAGGACAGGGCTGAGATTTTGTCATAGAGACAATCTGTTGCTGAAAAAAGAAGAGAGGGGTTAAGATAGCGAAGGTTTCTACGGGTAACTGTTTGGTAGTTAGAAGACAAGGAGGAGGAAGCCAAGGAGAGAATAAAGCTAATAAGGGAGTGATCAGAGAGAGGAAAAGGAAAGTTAGTGAGGTTGCAAGGAGTGCATAGGTAGGAGAATACAAGGTCGAGGTAGCTACCATTGGAGGGAATAGAAGCACGTGTCCATTGTTTTAGTTCAAAAGAAGTGGTTAGGCTTAAGAGTTTAGATGTAGCAGGAGTGTTAAGATTAACAGGGATGTTGAAGTCACCAAGAATGATTGTGGGAATTTCAGAAGAGAGAAAGTAAGGCAGCCAGGTAGAGAAGTCATCAAGAAAGCTTGATACCAGTCCAGGAGCCGATAGATCACAGAAATTCTTAAAGAAACTGGAGAGAATAGACTAATACAGTGAACTTCAAATGAGGAGAGAGACAGAGAGGAGGGAGGTGAATGAAGGACCTGAAAAGTTATTTGTGGGGATAGGAGGATACCAACTCTACTTCCTTTCCGTCCACTAGGCCTGGGAGAGCGAGTCCAGAGGAGTCCACCATGGGAGAAGGCAGCAGGAGAGGGAAAGTCAGATTCATGAAGTCAGGTTTCTGTAATTGCAAGTAGGTTAAATGAGTTTGTTATAAAAAGGTCATGGACAGAGGTGTGTTTGTTACACAGAGTGGGCATTCCAAAGGGCACAGGAAAAGGGAAGGCTGGTTCTAGGAAGAAGAGGAATGGTAACCAGATTGTGTGGATTGTGGTTGCTGTTAGAGGATTGGGTGTGCTGGGTATATTGGTCAAAGGAAAAATATGGAGGTCCGGTCCAGGATTTGGGGAAATGTCTCCAGATGTTAGGGGAAGCAGAAAGGTGAGAGAGGTAATATGGAAGTATGACTTAAAACGGAGTTATACTCGACCTATCAAAAAATAAAAGCAGCTACAAAAACTGTAGCTGCTGACTTTTAAAAAACAGCCACATACCTGTCCCTCGGTCCCATGGTGTGTCCCTCGCAGCTCGTTTCACCGGCTGTCCTGTATTCCAGGAGGCCGGCATCTTCACTGTGGGCACCCGGCTGTGATAGCTTGCGGCTTCACAGCTGGGTACCCACTGTGCATACGTGAGTAGCGCTGTGCTTTGTGAATGGTCCTGTAGTCTTCTGGGACCTGTCACATGTCCCAAAAGACTACAGGGAGGGAGAGAGGACACCTTCCATTTCCGATCGCCTAAGCAAATTCAGGTACCCGCTCCCCAAAGGTGCCAATCCTTATTAAGGAGCGGGGGAGCAGTTATTAAAGCGGAACTTCCCCTTTTGGGTAGAGCTCCGCTTTAAATGGAGGGACAGGTCCCAATGTCCTGGAGGTTTTATTAGTATGTGGGCTCAGAATTAGCAGGAGCTGATGAGTACAGTAATAAGGTGAAGACAGGAGTGATGGTGATATATATAAGATGTGGGGTGGTGAAGAGGGGTGAAGGAGAGAGAGTTTGAATAGAGAGGATACAACTGTGAGGAGGAGTAGGGAGTGCAAGTTACAGAGTGGTGAGATGAAGAAGCAGACTGGCTGAAGGAGCGTTGGGATAGATAGGAGGAGAGCCAGGAGAGAGCGGAGTCTCTGATGCCGAGGGAGTGTAGTTTGTTAAGGAGGAGGGGGTGGTCGACTGTGTCGAAGGCCGCGGAAAGGTCGAGGAGTAAGAGGACTGATTAGTGGCCATTAGCTTTGGCGATTAGCAGGTCATTAGTGATTTTGAGTAGGGCGGTTTCGGTGGAGTGTAGGGGATGGAAGCCAGACTGTAGGGGATCGAGGAGGTTGTTGTCAGTGAGGTGGGCGCATAGGCAATTGTAGACTAAGCGCTCAAGGAGCTTGGCAGTAAATGGCAGCAGGGAGATAAAACATCCAGTGTGCATGGAGCCTAATAGTTTCTAGTAAAAGAAGCAGTCTCTGTAATGGGCAAGGTAAAATAGGAACACAACTTTGCTATAACCTCCCTAATTTACAATGCACATTATAATTAAGCCTTGCCTATTAAATTATACCTGTTTAGGCACATTCATACCGTACCCGGTTATGGGTACACTTCAATCAAAATGTATAATTATGGCACCTACAATCGGCAAATGCCACATCTGGTATATTTCTCTCATACATCTCTACCGATACTTTTTGAACCTGTCATTTCATGATGGAGAAAACCTGGCATTACGGTGTCTGCAGGATACCATGAATAATGTGCATCTGTGGCCTATTGGTAAACCATAGCAAATGTAAATAATATTTAGGCAGGATTTAAAGAGTACTATCCCTTGATGTGTAATTCACTCACTGAATGTGTGTGACCTCATTTATTTGGCTTGTTGTAAACCATGCAAAGTATGTCTCATCGGGCCGCTCTGTTGAGGAAACATTTGTTTCCTCCATGAAGCCTTCTGTTTGTCAATGTCAACTACTCTGAGGTTAAATATTACATACTAGAGCTCTCAGCTGTGCTAAGCTCAAGTTCTCTGTAAACAACTGTATTCAGGTCAGCCATGCAGTCACTTGAATTGCTTAAAATGCAATAAGTGTGAGGAATTAAATGCTTAAAGTGATTATAAAGGGAGATTTTTTTTAAAAGAACAAACATCATTCTTACCTGCTCTGTGCAGTAGTTTTGCACAGAGCAGCCCGGATCCTCCTCTTCTCAGGTTCCCCACTGGTGCTCCTGGCCCCTCTCACTTGCCAAGTGCCCCCACAGCAAGTGGCTTGCTATTGGGGCACCCAAGCAGGCTTTTTGTGTACATTCACACAGATGCTGCTCAGCCTAGCCCCCCCTGCTTCCTCTTCATTGACTCACTGACTGCGATGGACAGTAGCAGGAGCCAGTGAAGGAGGAGAGACCCAGGACAGCCGAGGCTCTCGTGCTGGATCGATATGGGACTCGGGCAAGTATTAGTTGGGACTGGTGGGGGGTGCTGCTACAGACAGAAGGTTGTATAGAATGCATGAAGGTAAAACTTGATCCTTTACAACCACTTTTAAGCCTAAGTGTATCCAAAATCACAAATCGAAAAACAACACAAGGGGCTTAACTTCCATTCAGCAGGATGTGTCCCATGTGAGTAGAATGTATGAAAGTAAAAAACGTTGAGCCTGTACAACCACTTTAACCATTTGGTAACCATGCTATAGCCAAATGACGGCTACAGTGTGGTTACCCAATTCTGGGAGGGCATCATATGTGCCGCCTATCTGTGCCCATCAGTGCTGCCCATCAGTGTAGCCTCAACAACACACAGCAGTGGAGGAGAAAAATGTTTGCAAACTTTTATGATAGAAACAAAGGGAAACTTTTCTTTTTTCCTATTTTTTGCTCTTTTTTTGTTTGTTTACAAAAAGTAAAACTCCCAGTGGTGATGAAATACCACTAAAAAAAGCTCTTATTTGTGTGGAAAAAAAGCTAAAAATGTAATATGAGTACAATGTTTCATGACTGCGCAGTTGTCATTCACAGCACTGAAAATTGGCCTGGGCATGAAGGCGGTAAAAGTGCCCAGTAGACAAGTGGTTAAATCTGAACTCCAGATAACACTTTTTAATCAGTTAAAAAAAAAAAAAAACTGTTCTTGTTTTTACTTTTGGGACAAAGACTTCAATAAAATGAATAAACGCTGGCCATTGTAAGCACCTTTGCCAGTGGAGAATGGTTTGTCTCAGCCCCCTACTTCTGCTGCATAGCTTGCTCTGTTAGGCCCAATTCACATTAACACATTCTATGAACACGCAAAAAATGTACATCATAAAGTGTTAATGGCCCCCCAAACATGGCCAGCAAACTTGTGTTTTTGTGCACAGTAAGACATGCAACAAACGAGCTACAATGTCCCAAGCTCTGCACCTAAAAAAGATGCAGAAACTTCTTTGGTGTATAGGGGAGCCAATCCAAATGTATGGGCTTTCCTGTGTCGTTGCACGAAAAACAAGCAAACAAAAATGAATTTTGAAGTGTTAATGGGGCCTTGAGTTGAAAAAAACAACAGCAGGAGCAATGGAGAAATCAGACTGCTTTGTTAATGTTAGTGACAGGCTGCATCTTATGTCATTTGTAGTTTGACCTTCTGTTCTCATTGATCATTATTTTATGGAGTGTTATGTTAAAATGGTTCCTTTTCCTGCCTTCTGTAACAGACAAAATATTTAAATGAAGTTTTCTCTAGTCTGAAACTAATGGTATTTTAATTATTTCTGCTCAGGGTATCAAGAATAAGGACTTTTCCTTGCCTTTACCCTCCCTTCCACACCAGCTGGTACTCACATCTTTCCTCCTTTACTCTGGATTGTAGGCAGGCCCCCCCTGTCCTCACAATGTATGACTGTTGGTCCTGCATTGCATGAGATAGCTAGGCGATGGCTTCAACTGCCTGACCGAGCACCCAAAAGAAAGAGGCTGGGGAACCAGTCACATGGAAGAGGTAACTTGTGGAGGATAAGGGAAGTAAAAGGTGCTTTTTACTTGTGTCATGGGCAGAAACCAGCATTTCACCCTTGAGGTGAAGGGGGAGCCCCAAGGCAATGGTAATTTTTTGTTTACCTGGAGTTCATATTTAACCACCTCCCACCCACCATATAGTAATATGACGGACGCAAGGTGGTTCTCTCATTCTGGGAGGACGTCATATGACGTTCTCCCATTCTCACCGCGCATGCCAAGCTCAGGGAGCACGCGGCGATCGGCGGTGCACTGTGTCCCTCAGATACAACGGATCACCAATCACGGAAAGAGCCGAAGATGTCAGCTCGGTCATGTGATCAGCTGTGTCCAATCACAGCTGATCACATGTAAACAGGGAAATGACGGTTATTGGCATTTATCTCCTCTCGAGCTGTCACGCTGACAGATGAGAGCCAGTAATCGGCTTTCCGCAGAGGGGACATCTACACTGATCATCAGAACACTGATGATCAGTGTGCACTGATGATCTGTGTAGCCCCAGCAGTGCCACCTGTCAGTGTCCATCAGTGCCTTGTGTCAGTGCTCATCAGTACCTCGTGCCAGTGCCCATCAGTGCCACATCAATGCCACATATCAGTGCCTACCAGTGCACATCAATGCCACATATCAGTGCCCATCTGAGCTGCCTTTCAGTGTCATCCATCAGTGCCAGGCAGTGCCACCTATCAATGCCAATTAGTGCCACCTATCAGTGCTGCCTATCAGTGCCGCCTATCAGTGCCATGTATCAGTGCTGCCTATCAGTGCCACCTACCAGTGCCTCCTCATCAGTGTCCATCAGTGCAGCCTATCAGTGTCCATCAGTGCTGCCTATCAGTGCCCATCACTGCAGCCTCATTAGTGCCCATCAGTGAAGGAGAAAAATCACTTATTTACAAAATTTATAACAAAAACTAAAACTTTTTTTTTTTTTCAAAATTTTCAGCGGTTTTTGGTTTGTTTAAGAAAAAATAAAAATCCCAGAGGTGATTAAATACCACCAAAAGAAAGCTTTATCTGTCACAAAAAATGATAAAAATTTCATATGGGTACAGTGTTGCATGACCGCGCAATTGTCACTCAGAGTGCTACAGCGCTGAAAGCTGGAAATTGGCCTGGGCAGGAAGGGGGTATAAGTGCCCTGTAGGCTAGTGGTTAACTACCTTAAAACCACGCTAAAGCTGAAAGACCGCTACAGTGCAGTTCTCTTGTTCTGGGAGGGCATCCCTGGACGTTCTCCCAGAACCCCGCCGCCTGCCTGCTCACAAGGTGCGCTCTGTGACCGCTGTGTCCTTTGGACACAGCTGATCACAGATCAGGGTAAAGGGCAAATCACAGTGGCCCTTTACCATTTGATCAGCTGTGTCCAATCACAGCTGAACACATGTAAACAGACTTGCCTTTTATCTGCAATTTTACGCAGAACAAATGTTATCCTGTATGATCAATTTAAAGCATTAGATATTCGTTTCTGTTCTAAAGTTTTGCGAATAATTAATTTTTTCTTCTTTACTGATGTGCACTGATGAAGTTGCCCTGATGTGTGCTGATGAGGCAGCACTGATTAGCTGCAATATTGGGAACTGATGGGTCTTGCACTGATTATCAGTGTAACCCACGTACTGAGAGCCTTGGCGCTTATTGGCTCTCCTTTCCTCACACAGACAGAGCATGTGAGGAAAAGAGAGCCGGTAATCGCCAAGGCTCTCAGTACATGGTTTACACTGATAGGGTACTGATCATCAGTACACTGATGATCAATGCAAGCAAGACCCATCAGTTCCCAACAGTGCAGCTAATCAGTGCCTATCAGTGCAGCCTCGCCAGCTTCATCAGCACATATCAGTAAAGAAGGAAAATTAATTGTTTGCAAAATTTTACTCTAGAAACTAAGAAAAAATATCTAATGCTTTAAATTGATCATACAGGATAACATTTGTTCTGCTTCAAATGAATAACATAGTATACTTACCTGCACTTGTTGCACCTCTTTGGTGGTCCCCCGCTGGTGCTGTCCACTCTGTGTGCTAAGGGGACATTCTTGTGGGTGCGTTCCTGAACAGGGCTGTGTGCATCCATAGACACATGTAGCATCGGTAAGCCCTCAATGCCTCCTCTGATACCAGGAACATAAGGAGCAGTGCTGCAGCTGGGAGAGGGCTGGAATGGTGAAAAGAGTCAGATAAATGTTTGGGTGGTGGGGCGTTTTTTTTGACTTTGGAACCACTTCAACAGTGCATGATATTATGGTAGAGTATTCTATATTATTCTGTGTGTCTAACCTGTCCCGGAACACTAGGAAACCCTTTATTAGTACATGTTGTATCAAACTATAGTCTACTGATTGCTCCTTTACTACCTCTGCCTACCCGAGTAAGTGATGCAAGTCCTTCCCTAGACAAAGTACAACTTTTATGTCTAAAGTTTTTTGTTTTTTTTTTACTCTTCCCAAAACTGAGAACTCGGCTTTAGCAGGTAATAAGAAAGCCTACAATTAAAGGCAAACTCCAGGCTCTGAAATTGTATTTATTTTGGCTTTTTGTAATCGCCTAAACAACAACAACAGCACTGACTGGGATATCTAGGATTACAACTCAAACCAGGCTTTATTTCTGTACATAGTGTTGTCAGTCTATTGATGTGAGCACACCTGCAGGAGGTGTGAGCACAGAGTTCACCATATCAGTATGCTGCTGCTCCATCATTGTCCAAAAACCTGGCTGACGGTGGGATCTTAACCAAGTTGTATCTGCAGTAGATGACAGCGAGGTTATTTCCCTGGCTGGATTACAGGACTGGATGAACAGAATTACAAACGTTGGCAGGTGAAACCTATTTTACTTACATGCTTCTTAGTTGTACATTTAGTTGTTGCCTGACATTCCGCTTTTAAAACTTACTTGACTGCATTTTAAGACTTGGGCTGCTAGGTGAGTTCGCACGAAGTGTCAAATAGCAGTCTTTACAGCATTCCATGTAATGCTGGTTAGAAAAAAAAAGTGGTCTGTCTCCTTTGCTCAGCTTGCTTTCAGAATACGATAAAAGCTATTTTTGTTGTTGTTTATTACTTTTGTTCATAATATTTGTCTAACCCACATAGGGGCCAAACCACACAAATGTGGTAATGATCATTTTACTGCAACGCACAGCGCACAATGAGGAGTATTACACACCCAATGCAACCAGGCAGCACGGCACAACGCAATTGTGTTTGCAACACCGTGAGCCTCAGATGTAAAGCATCTCTGCATTGAGAAAAATGCTGCATTTGTATGCACTGTTTTGTCTTGTCAGAACATTCAAAAGGAACAGGCTGCCTATTTCCAATGCTTGTCATGAGGGTTGCTCCACAATACTAGTGTGAACGGCCTTTACTGTACTCTGCCTTTCAAACGTTAAACAACAAATAATTTAAAGCTATATTCCACCAATTAATGCAGCCTATATTCCACCAATTAATGCAGCCTATATTCCACCAATGAATGCAGCCTATATTCCACCAATTAATGCAGCCTATATTCCACCAATGAATGCAGCCTATATTCCACCAATGAATGCAGCCTATATTCCACCAATTAATGTAGCCTATATTCCACCAATTAATGTAGCCTATATTCCACCAATTAATGCAGCCTATATTCCACCAATGAATGCAGCCTATATTCCACCAATGTAGCCTATATTCCACCAATTAATGCAGCCTATATTCCACCAATGAATGCAGCCTATATTCCACCAATGAATGCAGCCTATATTCCACCAATGAATGCAGCCTATATTCCACCAATGAATGCAGCCTATATTCCACCAATGAATGCAGCCTATATTCATTTCAAAAGCATTAAATGGATTTTTAAGAGGTTCTACATTCCGGGAGACAGAGGCAGGCATTCCAGTCATGTGAATGCTGGCATTGACAGTCACAGTGGTCACATGATTGGAAAGCTCCCGACTGCAAGTATGCATTGGGAGCTTTCCATTACCAGTGGTAACTGTGCTGGGAGCGCACAGGGCGCACGCTCTCAGCACAGGAAGATGTTTACATTAGGATGCATATATGAATGGCGGGGATTGGTTATATACATACTTGACTAGAATAGAATTGTTTTCTTTTTAAATAGAATTTGTCACTTTAAATAATGTCAGACCAGCTCATCAAATATTGGCTGCTGGCCCATAATCACCAATACTCACCAGGGTGGATTTGATTTAAATCAAACTGATTTAAATGACTAGTCAGTAAGGCTTGATGTAATCCTAGTTTTCTACATAAAGACTAATTCTTGCTGGTATAACTTTAATATACAAGTAGATGAAGATTTTTAGAAAAACAACTTTTCATATTAGTTTTTTATCCCCAGTTTAATAGGTTAATCATTCATATTTGGACAACTTTTCTGTTGTACTTAGGAAGGAGAAAAATAATCATTACCTTAATAATAACAATTTAAATAGATTTATTCATCTGAAACAATAACATTCCAGCATATGTGATTTGCTTAAACAAACATCCATGTTTGTTAACTAATTTGGCTAAACAAAATCTATATAAAGAAACTTAGACTGTCAGCCCTTCCTCCTCACACTTCGTTTCACTTTCTTCTGTGCAGATCTATTCCACTCCAAACAATCAGAAAAATATTGTTTCTATTCTATTCACTGAACTTCTTGAAACTTAGCAGTGAAGGGGTTGATTCTGTATTCATAGGTTTGTAGAAGTTAGGATGAAGGTCTTTTTCTTAACTCTGTTCATGTTATAATTTTTGCTGTGAAGAAGAGGCATGTGATCTCCGCTGAGTCAAATTCAGTTTTGAGAACTGCAAAAGTAAACCAACCATCTGTGATATACTTTGTAGGCAGAGAAACTGCCCAATAATCTTACAAAAACCTCTGGAAGAGCATGACATTGTGAATGGATTCATGGAATTTATTACCCCAAAAAATTAAACATATACAGCCTTATTCTACATAATTAAAAAACTAATCTTTATTTCATGATGGAATAACCTTTGGATGGTAATATATTTTCCTCCAAAAAGCATTTTTTTTAAAAAATCCGATTTAAATAGAAAAAAATCCAATTTTTTTTTTTTTTTTTTTTTTTGGATTTTTTAAAAAAAATCATTGATTTTTGTCCACCCTGATACTCACAAAACACTTTGTTAGCCACAAGGTAGTTACATAAGGCCCATGCATGCAGTATATAGAAAATAAATACTGTAGTACAAAAAAACTGAACTAATAACAGATGAATAGACATCCACTAAACCACCACCACATAAAAAATGAAACGCTGTCTCTTCAAGGCTCCTTTCACACGGGCAGACTCCGCCAGCAGATCCGCTGTATTAATTTCTTCATCGAAATGCTTTTAAATGAAAACGGTGAGCACTATAAAGCTTTTTTTCTTCCATGTGGAGGTTTAAATTTTGATGCAAACTAAGCTCTGTTATCCTTCTGGACCTCAGGTATTAAATCCTGCAGGGGAAAATAAGCTGAATTTAACTCCATATTAAAATAGGGGTATATTAATTAAGTGGAGCAGATTTTTTTACACTGCACAGTGTGATGTGTGGAGAGGAGAGCACTATTGCACTCAACTTGGAATGGGGCTTGATCACTTTTGTTTTGTGTTTTATCTGCATTATTGGTTGTTATTTTAGTGCTGTACATTGTAAAGTATTTATTTGATATCACAGTTCATTCGAATATACATTGATTTCATTTTTACTGTGATTTTTTTTTTTTTTTTTTTTTTAGGAACACTAGCTAATGTAAAGTTTGATGTGAATTCTGTTATGCACATTTTAAAATTTTTTTTGATACTTCTGATTTACACTAGTTCTAGTGGGGACTGGACTGTTCTTAAGGGCATCTTGGTGCTGGATCTGTGGTTTCCTTGCACACAGAGGTGGTGGATGGGTGATGTAGGTTAGTAT